CAACCCCTAATGTGTATACATTTAGTCAAACATGAACTTGTCAATAACTTTAAGTCTATTAAGCTTTGGCCGAAACACATGCCTATTAATTCGTTTTGTAATTCAATTATCAGTCCTTCATCCTTCTTTGATGGTGCAGTTTAACGTTATAAATGCTTATTGAAGTTTTTTTTTCTGATCTAGCTTCATCTCCTCCAAGTGGGGTCTTCCAGTCTGCATCTACTCTCTTGCCTCTCCTACCATCGCCCATCTCACAACCCTTCACTGTGTCCGCTCAATCCACCGTAATTGGTCTAGCTCAAACCAACTTCACGGCTATCTCTCAGGCTCAACAACCATCAGCACCGCCATCGTCTGGAGCTCGAATAACTGCCGTTGTGATGCCACCATCCGCATTACCTCGTGGTCCTATGGCTGGACGAGTGTTGCTTCCCAATCCACCTCCAATGCCACCATCTACTGTCATGAATACTTGTTACTCTGCTTCAGATATTAGCCTTAGTGGTGTGAACCTTCTAATGGGACAAAACGTATCTTTTAATAGTACCGTATTGCCTTCGACAACAATTCAAGTTCAGCCTTCTGTATCGCTTCCTCCTCCTCCTCCACCTCCGCCTATCCTCTTAGGATCGGGCCCTACGGCTGGCTCGGCTGCCCTTCCTAGGGGTAGTCCATCTGAAGGCGTAGGCTCGCTTCAACTAGAGGATCAGGATGGTGATCAACCCACTCTACCACAGGCAACATCCATTCGTGCTAGCACTAGGCGATGGGACTCTGGCCCAAATAATACGCAAAGCCGAGCGCGAAGTAGGGCGTGTTTTGATTGTCTGTGTGATTTATTCTAAAATGTATTATAAATTGCCGGGTCTCTAGAGCTAACTTATATAACAATAAAGATTCTAATCATTGACTCGGGCACAGCTTTTATATCTTTTGTATGCAACTCTTATTCCATTACCGATTTACGCTTAAAATTTTCTAGACATGCTCTACTTTTAATAACAGTCTCTAAACTGCTTCGATTGTCGATTATGTATTAAAGATCGACCTTTACAAGTAAGTGATTATAGGGTCCTCTTATTTCATACCCTATTTTTTCAAGGAATCTCGTTCAGGGTTTATAAGTTTAGCTTTGGAACTTTAAAATGTATCAAATACATATGAATATGAGATCTAATCGCATTAAGGGTGAACCACTTACTGGAAATTCTAAGTACTATGTGTTTTTGGACATTTTATTTTTTATTTTTGTCAGTCTGGACTGATTTTATTTGTATACTTTACTCCGAACCGCATTTACAGAATCTCATGGTCAAAACGCATCTAATCGCCCCCTGGATCCGATGGATCCAGCTGCCTACTCAGATGTACCCAGAGGCACCTGGTCAATGGGTCTTGAAGTAGACCGCACAGGCCCTAAGACTGGGGTCGATTCTACTGCATCGGGACCGCTTTTCCAACAGCGGCCATATCCATCTCCTGGTGCTGTATTGAGAGCCAATGCTGCTGCTGCTGCTTCCGCATCAAATTCTGACGCTAAGCGTCATAAGTCCGATCCAGCTATTTAGCTTTCAGTTGTTGGATCGTTATAAGCCTATATCCATGAGAACAAGTACCAAACTTACATAGAAATTTGTGTATACTACAAAATAGCGAGAAGGAAACCATATTTATTGCTCTGGTACATGGATCTTAAACTGTCTATCATCGTATCCAGTGGATGATCGTAGTATTATTATTTATTATCTTCTCCTTATTTACCCTGTTCTTGTGTTTGTATCCTGTTTTGAATTCACAATTTTGAGCTTCTACTTTCTTACGCTTCTCTTGTTAACTGTCAACAAAATTAGATCATTTCTTGTACGATAAATAATTATTTTTTATCAATTCTATATATATTAATAATTTTAAGCATATTTTTGTTGATGTCTATGTGTATGTGTTTGATTAGAGAAAGAGTGATAGAAAAGCGAGAAATATTTAAATGCATGAACAACACTTGGTTCAAATTAATCGTTTTGATTTGGAGCGTTTCCTGACATTTGGCAAATAGCATCTGATTTACTTAAATTTGTCTCTTTTTAATCATTCGCTACATGCCCTCTGATCTGTTCTCTACAGCTACTCCTGGTATCCATTGTTCTGGGTTTCATCCTTGATTTAGTGTTCCATCTCTAATTCCTTTGTATGCTAGAACTGATTATTGGAGATAAATATGCAAGCTAAATTCCACTAACTGTTATTAAGTCAAAAAATATCATATTTTTATGCATTCAAGGGCCGTATGTGGATTAGATAAAAACTGATTAGAAACATTTTTGCTTGGACTATTTAGCAAAATTTTAATTGACCTTTGCGATAATTCACTATTCTTCATCCGTCATGTAATATTATCCCAATTTATAGGTGGATC